TGAAAACGCATTTCAAAAATTAAGCAGTATTTTAATACAGTTTAATCCAGTAGCTACTCAACACAATATCATTTCAGAATTGCAACATTTTAAATCGTCATGGAATATTTTAAAGGAAAATGTCAATGAAACTTTTATAAAATTAACCGAAAATGAACATTCTACTGATATTCAAGTAGAAACTAATAAAGATGTGATTTTATCCTCTTACTGCATTGCTTGCAAAAATTGCTCTATTTGTTGCTATAATATATTATTCAGATATAACATGTTAAGTGGCGCTTATTCTATACTTGGTCATGCATACAAATATCTGCTATCTATGTCTGTAACACTAGTGAACAAAGCTTTTCTATGTTAAAATTAATTAAAAGTAGGCTAAGATACAAGTATCTCGCAAGAAAATCTAGAAGCCTTCTTGTTAATGTCAGTGGAGAAGGATTTTTTAAACGAAATACATTCTGATGATGTCATTAATATTATTGCTCAACAAAACAAGCTTCTAAATAAAAAATTAATATTGTAGAATATAGACTTGTGCTTATTGTAATTTTTGTCAATGCTGTATTTTGAATATATTTAAATATAAATAGAAAAAAAAATACATTTTTTTTTATTTGCGGGCTCGGCTGGTAATAAATTTTCCACACAAAACTTTTAGGGCCAGTCCACCCCTGTTCAGATAGATCTATTTTTCAACTGATTCAACAAGAATTGGTCTCAAAAATATTAATCAAAGTGTTACAAACAAAAATATACTTAGATCTGCCATAAAGAAAGAACTATTTATGAATAGATCAGAAGATTTAAAGAGAGTTCTAAGATAGTTCAGCTAAAGATGAAACTGTTACAACTTCTGAAAATATGATTAGTTATCTTTATACTTAAAGAACATTTCAAATGTCTGTAAAAAAATGCTACCTGCATTAAAATGAATGAAATTATTTCATTTATTCTACATTTTAATTAAAAACATGAGAAAATATTTTTTTACACTTAATAGTTTTTACAATTAAAACTTTCAAGGTTTGCATTAGCTATAATTCTTCCATCTAATAGATAATAGTAAGTTGCCTGTTTTCTTTCATACCTTGTACATAAATCAACAAATTTGAATAAAATTTCAGAAAATTACAGTGATGAACAACAAATATATAAACTTTAGTTTTTATCAAAAAAAAACTGTACTGTTTTCTTGTGTTATCAACATCTTCAGGGGTGTCTTCCTCTTCCAAATTATCCAATTAAAATTATCAATAATGAAATTAATAAAAACATAAGTATTAATAAGTTATGAGATCCATATTTAATATAAATTTTTGATACTTTTCAGTAATAATCTCAAATTAAGTTTTCTCTATTGAAGATAACTGTTTCCTTGACTTCTTGACTCCAGCAGTTTTGTATTTTTTGATTATCCAAGTTTCTGTATGTCTGTTTTAATGAAAGTTAGTTTATTTAATTTTTAAAAATTTTTAGTATAATGATAAATGCTTTGTTTTTCAATAATTTTGTGTCTCATATCTAAATACATTTAACCCAAAATTGAGTTTTAGTTAAGTAATAAGTTTATTAACTGTAACAAAATTAATTTGTTATGTCCTACAATCATTTTCTGGGACTGAGACAGGATGAAGAAAGGTGTACCGACATGACACACACTTCTCTCCAAAAAATCATAACCATAGATTAACATAGATTACATTGATTACATAGATCTCTTTAAGAAATAAAAAGATTTTTGATTCAATTCATTCATTTTTTCCCATAAAATGCTAAATTTTGCAGATTTCCTCTCTTGTGTCCTAGGCTTAAGACAAATAATCCTTCTGTCTCTGTTCATTTCACTTAAGTGTATTCTTAAATACTTTACTTCTAGGACAATTAAAAAAAAACACACCTTTAGTTAAAGAATCATAGATGCCAACACTTTGTAAATATTCTCTAAATTCATCTCTCCTAGAAAACCTACGAGGTACCTTTGAACAGGAATAAAATCAATATTCATTTCAAATATCAAATATAAAAATGTCATCAAATATATTTTAGAGAGAAAATTTTTTAAACGTTTATAGAAAATCTATTATGATAATTACCGTGTATGAAGTCATTAAAAAGTTAATTAAAATCTATTTCAAAAATATAAAAAATAAAGCAGTATCACAAACAAAATAGATAACCAGAATAAAAATGAAAGCGTGGTTTAGCAGCTTTAGCTGAATAAACATTGTTGCCACACCTTTTCTTAATTTCGAAATTTCAGTAAAAATTTTTTATTCATAAATAATATTTTTATATTAACATTAATTTTAATTATTAATATTTATAAATTTCTATTTCTTAATTGTATATTTTATTAAAACATTTAAAATTTGTTAAGATGAAATTAAAAACTTTTAATTGATTTTCTGTACCAAGAAACTCTTTTTTTTTCTTTGATAAGGGTTTATATAGAGAATAAACCCAATGTGTTATATAAATATTTGCCGCCAGGGCGGCGTGCGAGTAACTTGCGAGGGGATGGTTGTTTCTCCGCGTTTCTTTATGCAGCGAGAATGTAGCGAAATGACGTCACGAGCAGTGTTGGCCAATTAGAAACCAGTTTTTTGTGTGTTAGCTGTAAAGCGCTTCTCGAGCGCTGCATAAAGAAACGGCAGGTTTTTCGAAATCTAGGTCAAAATTACGAAGACTGAATAAAATGCAACATCTGTATATCACTAATTTTCGACTATTAAATCAATAAAACGATTGCCGATTATAAAATAATAAATTAATCATTATTTCATCAAAAGATGCTTTTTTAAAATTAATTATGTATTTCATAAACTGTTACTTTAATTTTGTTAATTTCTAAGAATTATTCAAATTGATAAAAACATGTCAACATAAATTTCATTATTAAAAATATTTCACTTTAATTTTATTTTATTAAGTTTTAATTAATATTAATTTAGAAATATAACACACAAATTTTTCTATATTTAATTATAATACGCTCATTAATTAATAATTAAGATTTAAAATTCATTAAAAAATTATATAAGCCTGGCAACTTTGAGATAATTTTGGTGTAAACATTGAATTCCAATTTTTCCTGATCTTTGACTACTTTTTTGTAAAGTTCTATATATTTTTTTTACGAAAAAAGAAAAATATCGATAATTTTTGTACAAACAATTCAGTAAATAAATTTTTTCCTTAAAGTGGCATTTTTAATGTTGAATTTACTAACGGTTTACACAGGAGAAATGTAAAACAATAACATAATTATAGAGCCAATTCGATGTTTAAATAAATAAAGTATTTACATACTGATATACTGTAAATACTTTATTTAAACATCGAATTGGCTCTATATATATGAATATNTAAAATTTGTTAAGATGAAATTAAAAACTTTTAATTGATTTTCTGTACCAAGAAACTCTTTTTTTTTCTTTGATAAGGGTTTATATAGAGAATAAACCCAATGTGTTATATAAATATTTGCCGCCAGGGCGGCGTGCGAGTAACTTGCGAGGGGATGGTTGTTTCTCCGCGTTTCTTTATGCAGCGAGAATGTAGCGAAATGACGTCACGAGCAGTGTTGGCCAATTAGAAACCAGTTTTTTGTGTGTTAGCTGTAAAGCGCTTCTCGAGCGCTGCATAAAGAAACGGCAGGTTTTTCGAAATCTAGGTCAAAATTACGAAGACTGAATAAAATGCAACATCTGTATATCACTAATTTTCGACTATTAAATCAATAAAACGATTGCCGATTATAAAATAATAAATTAATCATTATTTCATCAAAAGATGCTT